CTGGCATTCTGCCCTCCATGGGGTTGCTGGCCAATAGCTCCAGGGCCTCTATGCAGGGCTGCTGGTGTGGGACCATTTTGGGCAGCCAGGTGCTGGGAGCGCCTGGCGGGAGGGAGGTGTGGATTAGATGCTCAGAGTCAAGGGCCTGGTCCTAAGGTGCTGAATGTCCAAGTCAGGAGAATTAAAGAGTCAGTGGGGGTCTGGCTGAAAATGGACAGCCTCTCTCTGGTCACGAGGAAACGTCTGACAAAGACAAAATGAGGAACTTCAATTAAAAAGAAAAACTGGTCTTCCTCTTTCCGAAAGCGGCCCGAGATGACCCCTGAAAATGGTTTGCTCTCCACCTGACCCAGAAAACCCCACAGAATCATGCAAACCAAGAGGCTCAAATCTCTGTGTTCCCTTTAAGAACACCTGTGAAACAGCCCAGGCCAGTGGTCGGCAAACTCATTAGTCAACAGAGCCAAATATCAACAGTACAACGATTGAAATTTCTTTTGAGAGTCAAATTTTTTAAAGTTAAACTATTTAGGTAGGTACATTGTTATTAACTTAATTAGGGTACTCCTTAGGCTTAGGAAGAGCCACACTCAAGGGGCCAAAAAGCCGCATGTGGCTCGCGAGCCGCAGTTTGCCGACCACGGCCCCAGGTCATCGAGGATGTGCGTCGCCGAAAAGCCACCATGTATCCGAAGGAGGTCACCTTACAGAAGCAGTGGGTGCCACTCCGTCGTTACCATGGTGGAGCTGGCAGTGTGCCCAGGCCAAGCAGTGGGGCCGGACACAGCGCCGGCGGCCCCAAAAGAGAGCTGAGTTTTCGCTGCACATGCTTCAGAGTGCGGACTGAGGGGTTTCGAGGTAGACTCTCTGGTCTCTGAGCACATCCAGGTGAACAAAGCTCCCAAGATGCAGCACAGAACCTTACAGGGCTCCTGGGCAGGTGAACCCCAACAAGAGGCCTCCCCGGCACATGGAGGTGATCCTACTGAAAAGGGAAGACGGTTCCTGAAGCAGCAGAGGAGGCTGCACAGGAGGAAAAACATCCCAGAAGAAACTAAAGAAATGGAAACGTATGGCTCAGGAGTAAATTCAAAATAAATACTAAAAAAAGTAAAAAAAACAAAAAAAAGGTGGGGGATGGGGAAGGACACTGCTATTCCTTAAAAATACCTATGTCATCCAGGACGAAGAAGGGCTGTGGCGATGTCCCCATGACGAAGACTAAACACAATGCGCAACCCTGGGTGCTGAGCTGGGGGAGGAAATGCTAACAGGGACCTTGGCGGCTCAAGCGCCAACCAGGAATACAGATGGCGGCTCAGCTAAAAATAGTGTCAATGCAAATTTGCAAAGCGCACAACTTCGCTGTGGTTACGTGGGAGAATTTCCCTATTCTTAGAAAAGTACTTAGCCAAGATGTCTGTGACTTACTCTCAGGCGATTCAGAAAGAAAATGAAAGGTGCACAGAGATGGCATAAATGACAAAGCAAAAGGGACAGTACCCAGCCCCAGAGGATATGTGGATATTTCCATGGGAATGTACTCTTGTTGGAGTTTCCGAAGTCTGACGTTATTTCCAAGTGAAAGATTTTTAAAAAGCCAAAAGATTTCGCAGCAGAACTGGTTCTTTTGCACAGAATCCCACGTGGAACCCCCTGTGTGAAACAGGGACAGGCAGGATGATCCGGGTGAAGCCAGGGTGGGCCCCACTTGCCTGTGCCCCTTTGGGGGCCCCTGGGGATGCCTCCTGGAACCCAGTTTGGAAACCACTGAGCGGGTTCAGCCTCCACGTTCTGGGGAACACGGTGAGGAGGCAGCCATTCCTGCATCCTCACGTCCATCGGACACACACACATACTTGGTTGCATCTGATCCTCAAAATAGCACTGAGAGAGATGTCCTCAGTCCCATTTTGTAAGTGAGAAGATCAAGATTCCGGAAGGTAAGTACCTCCTTGGGGCCAAGCCATCCAGGTGTTTTCTATATGCTCTCCTGCCTTCTGCACCAAAGCTGGGGTTCAAACCAGCTTTGAACCCCAAAGACCCGGCTCTTAGCAGAACCTGCTTACTCCCAGGGGAAGGGGCAGCCTCGGCCTGCTCAGGGCAGGGGTGAGACTGGGAGCTGCAGGACTCGCTGTCCAGTGCTTACCCAGGACCCACCTGGTCCTGGTGGGGAGTCTTTCCATGGAGCCAGGCCCCCCGCCTGAATGTCTAGGCTCAGAGACTCCCACTGGGGCGGGCTTCTGGCTCAGGGGAGCTCCCAGCCTGTCTTTGCGAGGGCGGGGGACCCTGAGTGCCCCGCTGCTCTGCTCTCCCACACGCTGTGCCAGACAGGCCCTCTCACAAGGAAGGCAGGCCTTTCCTTTCTTTCTTCTCTCAAAAGCAGCCATTCCTCCCCCATGCCCTGCCCTCTGGTTTTCACTGAGCGAATTCACTGTCAGTAAAATCATTGTGTTTGAAGTTAGTCGAGAGATTGTGTGTTTAAAAGAATTCCAGGACGCCCAAGCTTTCTGAGTGAACTGGGACTCGCTGAGAATAGAATTGCCCTTATCAGACCCAAAGCGATAGCTCTGATAGTCTTGGCCCTGACTTTGCCCTGAGCCCCAGCATGACCCGGGGCCGGGGAGAGGAGGGGTTGCGGGGAGATTCTCCAGATTAGAAGTTCCAAAGGGAAGGTCTCTGAAGGGAACTTTTCTAGAGTGAGTGGACCATGCTCCACCCCCCAGTCACATACGGACCATATTTTCTGTGGGCCTTTGGCCAGACTGGCCTGCCCCCTTCACAGGGAGAAGGGGAGAATCCTTCTCCTGAAATCGCCACCGTTGGCTGGGCCTGCTGGGAGCTATGCTCAGTGGTCCACACTGAACTTCTGTTGTTTCTGCATCACCAGGGAGCGAGTGTGGCTTCTGAGGTCTCAGGAGTCGTAGTTCTCCTCTTTGTAAAACGGCTTCCCCGGGTGAGGAAACTGGGCCTTAAGGGTTAACTCGTTCAAGGTCACACAGGCCTACGTGATATCAGGAATTTGCCCCCAAGTCTGTGCGGCTACAGAGGTGACAGTCCTTCTACTCCCCATGGCCATGTTGCCACGGACGGTGACCCAGGCTGCTTGCTGCACAGGGCATCCGCTGACGGGGTGACTGGGGGACCAGGTCCAGCCAGCGCCTGCTCACTACGGGGCGCTCCCTGGTGCGGGCCCTGTGTTTCTCCTCTGTAGGGGTGCCGTGAGAAACTGGTGGTGAATGGCCCACTGACTCCCTTCCCCACATCTGCACCCCTTGAGGCTCCTGACTTTGCAGCCCTTCCCATCAAGAAGGGCTGGGCTGGTCTTGTGACTAAACACATCGATGAAATATTTCCGAGCGGCATCATGCCTGTCCAAGCTCAGGCCCTGAGAGCCTCACAGGCTTTGCTTGTTCTCTTGGACCACCTATGGCCCTGGGCACAAGCCCGGGCTAACCTGCCGGAGCCTGAGAAATGCCCGGGCTAACCTGCCGGAGCCTGAGAAATGCGTGGCCCAGTCACTCCCGTGCCAGACCAGCCAATCAACCACCGAGCATCTGAGCAAGGCCATCCTAGACCAGCCAGCCTCCAAACAACCTCTCTGACCACAGACCCAGGAGCCAGCCCAGCCACGCTCAGCCCACCTGACCCATGAACAAGAATACATGCTGATCAGGTGGCCGCTATGGGGTGAATTGTGTCCCTCCAAAACTCATACAGTGACATCTTTTTTTCCCATGAGCCCTGACCGAGGCTGGGGATCGAGCCTGCAACCAAGGTACGTGCCCTTGACCAGAATCGAACCCGAGACTCTTCATTCCGAGGGCCAATGCTCTATCCACAGAGCCAAACTGGCCAGGGCCCTGTGTTGACATCATAACCCTCAGTCCCTCAGAATGTGACCGGACTTAGGAATGGGGTTGTTGCAGATGGAATTAGTTAAGATGAGGTCATACTGCAGCAGGGTGGGTCCCCAATCCAATATGACCGATGGGGACATCTGGACACAGACATGCTCACAGGCGAAATGCCATGTGAAGACGGAGGCAAACTGGCCAGGGCCCTGTGTTGACATCATAACCCTCAGTCCCTCAGAATGTGACCGGACTTAGGAATGGGGTTGTTGCAGATGGAATTAGTTAAGATGAGGTCGTACTGCAGCAGGGTGGGTCCCCAATCCAATATGACCGATGGGGACATCTGGACACAGACATGCTCACAGGCGAAATGCCATGTGAAGACGGGAGTGATGCTGCCACAAGCCAAGGACTAGCAGAGGCTGGGAGCGAGGCCTGGAACACAGCCTTCCCTCGAGCCTTCGCCGGGAGCATGGCCCTGTGGACACCTGGGCCTCAAACTTCCTGCCTCTAGAACTGCGGGGGAATAAACTTCTGTGGCTGCAGTCATCCAGCTTGTGGTACTTTGTCACAGCACCTTTTCGTAATTCACACAAAGGCACAGCCTGGGCTGGCCTCCCTGCCTGCCTCCAGTTGACCGTGGCCCTCCTCCTGGTACCCAGGCAACCCTGCAAGGTGCTCAGGAACGGCACCCCCCCTTCCCCAGGTCTGCCCCAGCAGGCCTCTAAGTCGGTAAAGGCTTCTCTAGTGCCTTCCAGAGGCCCTGGAGGCCTTGGTGGGGGAGGAGTCGCAGACCCACACAATATCGCAGCCCTGGGAGCCCCAGCCCAAGGCCCTCCTGGCCGGCCGGCCGCCTACCTGGGTTGCCGAGGGCCATGGAGTCGTAGATGAGCTTGCAGGTCTTGAGCAGGATGGAGATCTTCTTCTCGGGCGAGTAGGCCTTGTGCATGCTGCTGAACTTCTGCAGGATCTTCTCCATGATGGGCACCTCGGGCACGCTGGTGGTCACGCCCAGGTCGGTGGTGGTGGTGGCCAGGACCACCAGCTGGTTCTCCTTGAGCTGCTGCAGGGAGCCGTCCTTGCTGTGGATCTCATGAAGGCACGAGTTGATGGCTTCTTTCAGGGGCTTCAGCACACACTTGTACAAGGCGGACTCCACAATCGCTTCTGTGGGTGGGAGAGAGTAGTAGGGTGAGGACCCCAGCGGCAGGGATCCTGGCCCCGGGCCTTGTCGCCCAACAGTGTGGCTGGGCCCATCTTCTGATCCCGGGAAAACATACTCACAGCCCCAGCAGGTACAACCGCCGTTCTGACACAGGAGACCGCGAAGTGCATGCCACAGAAAGCCACACGCGGAGCCCTCTGACTGCTATACTGCATCCTAATGCCTTTCACAGGGCCCGGCACAGATTAAACTCCCACAGGGCTGCCCGCAGTACACAGCTTTGGAGGGCACTGCTCACACGGGAGTTGTGCAGTATACAACCTGTATAGCTGTGTTGGAGGTCCCAGGTACCCAGCAAATGCTTGGTGGACTTATTCTTGATTCTCTCTTTCAGTCCCCAAGTCCACTTGTCTTATCTCAAGAATCTAGTGTATCCAGAACCTGACTTCTCACCACCTCCAAGGTTTGACCTTGACCTGAGCTACCATCATCTGTTGCCTGAGTTACGCTGGTAGCCTCTTGCTCTGACCCCTTACAGTCCATCCTCAACACAGAAGCCAGCGTCATCCCGTTACGGCATGATTGACCATGACATTACTGTGCTGGGAACCCTCCAACGGCCCCATCTCATGGACAATACAAACCACAGCTTTCCCTGTGCCTTTCCAGGCCCGAGTGATCTGTCCCTGGGACCTCTCTCACTCAGCACCTTGCTCACTCCCCTGTGGATGCCTTTCCAGCCACAATGGTCTCCTTGCTGCTCTGCCACCTGCCATGCCTGCTCCTGCCTCAGAGCCTTCCACCTGCTATTCCTTTTGCCTGGAGAAGTCACTCCCCATGGCTTACTCCTTCTCTGCCCAAATGTCATCTTATCCAAGGGGCACCCTGATCATCTAGACCAGCGGTTCTCAACCTGTGGGTCGAGACCCCTTTGGAGGTAGAACGACCCTTTCACAGGGGTCGCCAAGACCATCCTGCGTATCAGATATTTACATGACGATTCTTAACAGTAGCAACATGACAGTTATGAAGTAGCAACGAAAATAATTTTATGGTTGGGTCACAACATGAGGAACTGCATTTAAAGGGCCAGAAGGTTGAGAACCACTGCCCTAGAGGGTAGGGAGTTTGGGATAGGAAACTGGGATCTTTGTGGAGCAAAAGATACGAACTGACGGTGGAAAAAATATGAAGTAGCAACGAAAATAATTTTATGGTTGGGTCACAACATGAGGAATTGCATTTAAAGGGCCAGAAGGTTGAGAACCACTGATCCAGTAGAATGGGAGCCAGCCAGGTTTTATCTTACAGCAGCTCTGCAACCCACCTGCCAATATCCCCACTCTACAGACGGACCAACTCACGCTCTGATGGTGTGGGCCACACAGCTCGCTGGGGGCTGACCAAAGATCTGAACCCATGTCTACCTGACACCAGGCCCATGTCCAGCTGCCCTGGGTGACCGTAGAGAAATATTCTTGGGAAGTCTTTTTGGCTTTTCCCTGTCCCCAGGGGAAGGGTCTCAGCTATTGTTTCCTCATCGGCAAAATGAGAGAGGGGAAGGCCCACCCCTCCGGATTCCTTCATCCCTGAGGGCCGCCACATCCCCTGCAGAGCCCGCCTCTGGCCCTCAGCAGTCACAGGTCCGTACTCCTTTGGCCTCTAATTGCTCCTTGTTGCAAAATGAGAGAGGGCTTCAGCCCAGCCCTCCGGGTTCCTTCATCCCCGAGAGCCGCCACATCCCCTGCAGAGCCGCCTCTGGCCCTCAGCAGTCACAGTCCGTACTCCTTTGGCCTCTAATTGCTCCTTGTGACCGTCCCCCTAATAAAACCAGGAGCATCCCGGGGTCCTGCCCAGCCTCTGATGTGGGCGCATGAGCAGAGCTGGGAAGCACGAGGCAGAACAGCAGAGGGATTAGTTCAGTTAGTTCGGGAGGAGAGGGGTGGGGACGGTGGATTATCTGGGATGATCCCTCCCTCCCGCCACTCCCAGCCCCCGCCCCGGACTGACCCAGCTCCTCCTCCGAGTACTGCGTGTGGTCCCCCAGCGCCTTGAGCTCGGTGCTCTGCAGCAGGTAGCTCTTGAGCTGGGTCATCATGGTGCGGATCTCCTGCAGCATCTCGGTGCTGGAGGCCTGGCGCGCCATCATCTCCAGGCTGTACACTTTGTAGTCCTGCACCAGGTTGCCGAAGTACGAGGCCTTGTCCTGGGCCAGCTCCACCACCTTCTTGTACAGCTTGCGGTCATTGGAGAGGAAGGCCTGGAAGACGCTGGTGAAGCTCGCCAGGCTTAGGCGGTGCCGCGCCTTGCCCAGGATCATGGAGGGCTTCTTCTTCACGTTGGGGCTGCTGAACTGCTCCAGCTCCTCCTCCGTGCTGCTGGTCGAGTACGAGTCCTGATCGGTGGCCGGGGTGTGCACCCCCGTACTGTCTGAGAGGGAGGCCAGGGAGCCTTTGAACTCTGGGGCGCTCTGGCGCCAGGCGCTGGCCTGGGCTTCTGGGCTCTCGGTCCCAGCTTGGGAGGCAGGGCGTGGGGTTTCTTCGTGTGGGCCAGGGGTGGGTTTCTCAGGGGCTGCCCCGTCCGTGGAGAGCTCGGCGCTCTCCAAGGGGCTCGGGAGGACCGAGGCCAGTTGCCGGGAAATCCGCTTCTTCCTAGGAGGAGGGACTGGGGGTTGCCGGAGCTTCCTTGCCGACTCTGGCAGGATGCCCAGCTGGCTGGCTTGGGCCACTACTTCCTGTCCTTGCTCTGTGGTCCTCTGAGGCCTGTCCCCGGGGCTGTCTGAGGTCCCCTGGGGAGGCAGGCCGAGTGGGGGTGTCCGGGAAAGACCCGGCTGGTCCCACTGTGCGGTTGTGCCCCTGTCCATCTTCTCCACATTCGGGTCCTCCAGGGAGACCTTCTCAGAGAGGCGGCGTCGGGGAGGAGCAGCAGGGGCGCCCTTCTTCCCTGGGCCTGGAGGGGCGGGGGCCTGCTGCAAGGGGCTGGGGGCCGCCCCTGGCTTCATCTCTTCCTCCCTGAGGGGGCCCAGGCCTGTGGGGGTGCATGGGGGCCTCTCACAGGCTGTCATGGGTCGCTGGCTTGGATAGTCCGGGGAGCCTAAGGCATGGGGTGCCAGGTGGGGGACAGATGCTGGGGATGCAGGAGGAAGGGCGTCTGGAGGTGAGGGAGAACTGGGCAAAGGACAGGCCGGAGCTGGGGCAGGGGGTAGAAGAGGCCGGGCAGGACTGCCGGGGTGGAGAGGAGGTGCTGGGGGCGGGGGCGCCGGGCGGCGAGGGGCCCACCGGGAGGCGGGTGAGGTAGAGTCAGAGGTGGGAGGCAACGGGCCAGGGGGGCAGCTTCTCAGGGGTGACAGGTCGGCAGGCAGGGCGCTGCCACAGTCCTCAATGAAGATCGGGTTCACAAACCACAGGCGGTCATTTCCTACCGAGAGCTCAATTTCACAGGCGCAGTTTCCCTGATGGGAGGCGGACCTGAGGCTGGAGGCTGGGGGCGCCCTGGGGGCTGGGTCTCTTGGGGGTTCTGCTGGGCTGCCAGCTGCTCGCCGGGGGTTCAGTGAGGAGTCCCAGAAGCCTGTGGAAACAAGAGGAGAAGAGGCGGTCAGTCCTGGAGCCGGGCCCCTGGGTGGGGTGGGGACGGGGCACGGGAGGGCTGGGAGGGCCTTACCACGTTTGCTTCTCTGCTCCCTGGGTTGTTTTCCCCTCTTGGACTGTTTCAAACCTCTCCCACCACTTCCTGCCTCTAGAGGGGAAGCCCCGCGAGATCCTCCCCTGCGATGCTGGGGTGGGGCCAGGCGCCCTGTGACAGGGGCAGCGTCAGCTCCGTCCCTGGCGTGTGAGGGCCCACCATGGAGGGCACCGTGACCCCGGTGCGGGCCGTGTGGGGACGCCGGGGCGCACAGCCAGTGTTCCTGCAGCTGGCTGGCCGGGGACTCCGGGGCAGGTGGCCGGATCTTTCTAGGCCCCCGTCTAGTCACCTCTAGAATGGGGTGGCTACGTGGGGCCTGTTCCATGTGGGGAGAACACACCTATGGACTGTGGCTGGTGAGCTCATGCCTGACCTTCCTAGTGAGGAGCACCTGCCACTGCAAAACGCCTGGTCTGGTCAGTCTGGATGTTCACTAGGAAACTGCCCATCCCCCATGGGAGGGGTGTCAGCAAACGGGGCTCCCGCCCTGCTGGGTGGGGTTCCGGCCCGTGCCTTTCTCCTGACCTAGCCCTCAGGACGCAGCCCACGGCTGTGGCCACTAGGGCACACCTGTCCCTATCCGGGCGTAGCTGGTCAGCGCCAGGTGTGTTCTGGGGGGGAGCGTGGGACATCCAAACTGAAGAGCATTGGGGGTCACCGAGCTCAGAGTTCTTGACTTCTGGGTCCCAAGCCCCGTGGAGACTCTGACGGAAGGTCAGGGCCCTCCACGAAGGGCAGAGGCACGGTGACTGAGAACAATTCAGTCGGCCTGCAGCCTCTCTGAGCCCCAGGCAGCTCCTCCTGGACCAGGGGGCCCAGGTCTGGTTCTACCTGTTAATGTTAGAGATTCAGAGTGCGGACTCCCTTGTTAAAGATGGGCCAGGCCTCTGGACGCTCCCCTGGAGCCCCTTACTTCTGGGAACGATTCATCACGAAGAAAACCACCCAAAATAGCATCCAGCACAGTCACAGGGCAGACCACGCTGAGTCCTGGCAGTGAGGGCCACTGGCTCTACCCGGATCCTCTCTCACTGATCCTGACCCCAGACCTTCGGTGTAAGTCCTGATCCATCCCGCATTACATGTGAGGAGAAGAGACCCAGAGAGAGTCAAGAACCTGCCCACAACTAGCTGGGCTGGTGTGGCTCAATGGTTGAGCATCGACCTATGAACCAGGAGGTCACAGTTTGATTCCTGGTCAGGGCACATGCCTGGGTTGCAGCTGGGTTCCCAGTGTGGGGCATGCAGGAGGCAGCCGACCAATGATTCTCTCTCATCATTGATGTTTCTATCTCTCTCTCTCCCTCTCCCTTCCTCTCTGAAATCAATAAAAATATATTTAGAGGGAAAAAAAGAACCAGCCACGGTCACCGGGCTGGTGAGCGAAGGTGCTGGGGTGCGGGGCAGGTCTGCAGGTCTGAGGCCTGCGAGCCCGGCTGCTGTGCTGTGTGGCCTCTCTTCTTGGGAACTTGCGACACTTCCCATCTCAGCTGCTCGGCCAGCGTGAGTGAGGGGTGGCGTGCACCTCAGAACTGGGGATGTGGTAAGCACCCGACGGGCTCCTGACACCAAAAGAAAGTGGGTATCACACAAAGGCTGAGGGCAGTGCGTGTGCCTGAGATGGGCACTCCCAGGGACGCAGGGGTTTGCCCCCTTGCTGGCCAGGGGACCGCCAACCCTGTCCAGGTGAGCAGGGTGCAACCTCAGGACAAGGGGGCTGCTGAGAAACGGACGCGTGAGCCTGCGCATCCCCTCTGAGGCGTGGCCGTGACCGGGAGGACCCCGGGCCTCAGGGTTCAGCTCCGTCCTGGGCAGAGACCCCGTGTCTGGTAGCCCGAGTGCTGTGGCCAGCTGTCTCCACAGTAGCAAGGGTGACAAGCCTTCGTGGGACTCTGTCCAGTTTGCAAAGCTCTGTGCACATCACAGCCACTATCTGAGGACAGTGCTGGGAGGGAGGAGGCGTCTCCGGGGTGCCATCCCCCCCTCCCCGCCCCCCCGCCCTGACCTAGGCAAGCTGTTCTTCACAGCTGCCTAGGCCTTTGCACGTAACTTTGGGAGGCAGCTCCTGACACCTCCATGACTCACCCACTCTCCTGGGTGCCTGGCACCGAGCACACAGCAATTCTGGCCTCGGGGAGTGAGCAGTGGAAGACCGTGCCCTGTCTGCACAGCCCCAGCAAAGCTGCCTCCTTGGAAGTTTTCCTGGGCAGGCAGCCAGCCTGACTCAGAGGTGAACTGGACAGCAGCCCCCCTATACGTGAGTGGAGGCCCCTGATGCTCACCTCCAAGCTCCCATAAGCCTCTCCTTTGGGTGAAGGTGGATGCCATGGTGGATGTCATAAACAGAACTGCCCACCCATGCCTGGGCACCCCCATTATTTCTCACCTAGATCATGGCCATAGTCTGCCCCCACCCCCCAATCCATTCTCCCCCTGTGGCACTACGCTGGGTATACAGTAGGCTGTTTGTTCAGAATCACTGCCAGCCCTTTAGCCTGGCACTCAAGGCCTGTGGGATCTGAATCTGTACACCTTTTCTTTTTAAAATACATTTTTATTGATTTTTAGAGAGAAAGGAAGTGAGAGAAATAGAGAGATAAAACATCGAGAGAAACATCACCAATCAGCTGCCTATTGGGAATCAAGCCCGCAACCCGGGCATGTGTCCTGACTGGGAATCGAACCAGTGACCTCTTGGTTCATGGGTCAATGCCCAACCACTGAGCCACACTGGCTGGGCTCTGTATACCTTTTCCAGCATCACCGGCCGAGTCTTCAGCCCATTCTCTGCCACTTCTTCCTGGGCTGCCCCACCTTCAGTCTTGGCTGGATGCTTTTCCCACCCTCTCCACCTGGTCAACTCTCCCTCATCCCTCAAGACGAGGGTCCACGCTCTGTGCCAATGGCTGTGATGTGCACAGAGCTTTGCAAACTGGCTCCCTGTTGGGTGAAGTCATCCTGACCTATCGGGGCCTCCCCTCACTCTGCGTGCTCCTAGCCTTGGCACACACTCTGACTGAAGTGGCCATCATTGGGCCATATGCTCTGAGTTTGTCAGAATCCTCCCCCGCGCCCCCGCCCCCGGCTCTGAGCTTCCAGAAGGCAGCTACAACGCTTCATCCATCCGAGTATTTCCAGCACCAAGGCGGTGCTTGGCACAGAGCAGGAGCTCAGCCCTTTAGCTTGCACAGTGGATTAGCTTAGCCAGAGGGGAGAGAGGGGCTTTGAGGTGTGGGATATAGGCAAGGTAAGTTCTGATGGGGAAGTGGGGATGACCTGAACCATAGGAAGATGTCTTAAGGCAAGAGAATGAAGAGACGAGAAAACGAGAGGAGGGAGGCACTGAGGAGGGCCATGGAGCTCCACAGGTGGGGCGGCCAACAGCTGGGCGGCCTGTCTCAGGGGAGCAAGGTGGGTCCATCCTGCACAGATTAAAAAAAACAAAACGACACACGTTTCCTACAGCCTGGATTTGGGTTCTGGGAGGCATGGAGCAAACATTGGGGTTCAGGGAAATGGGCCCAGAGCCCGGGGGACTAGGCACTGCTCCCCTGCTCCTAAGAGAGCTTGCTGGCCGTACCCCGGCAGGGCAGAGCCAATGCCACTCTGAGGGGTGGGGGAGCTGAGACCTGAGGGGCTGCCGTTTGGGGGCTGGACGTCTGTTAAGGAATTGCAGTGGCAGTGCAGTGGTTTACGCTAAAAAAAAAAAAAGGGGGAAGTAGCTCACTTTCTTTGCAGCCTGCAGAACATCGAGGCCAGAGGAAAAGCGGAACACGGGCATGCAAGCTAGTGGTTGGCAAAGCTGTGGCATCTGCATCTAGTGGCAAAATGCCAGGCCTTGGCTCAGGGCCCGGCCTCCACGGCCTCTGTGCTGCCCCTGGATTGGGGGACTTTTTGCTGGCTCTTGGCCTCCCCCGCCTTGTATGGACATACCTCTTGCCAGGTGTCCACTCCTATACTCCTTGGGGGCAGGGGGCCGGGGCCAGGCCAGGTGCTGGGCTGTAGGCCCTGGGGGCAAAGGTGACGAAGGTTTCCCTCTTGGGGTGCCCGGGCTAGTGGCAGGGCAGAGAGGGCATGAGTAAATGCAGCAAAGTATTCCAGCTGCCAGGGAAGCCGCTCCAAAGTCCAGGGGTTCAGAGAAGAAAGATGTCCGTGGCGTCCCAATCCCAAAGACGGGCGGTTGGGCAGTCATTCCAACTTGAGTGTTCAATGAGTTTTCAATAACTAGGAAAATTCTCACATGTGCTATAAAGGAAAAAGCAAGTTCCATGCCAACTCGGCAGAGCTACAGAACCTATGCCTTTTCTAAACGTATTTTAAACCTATGAAACATACCGCAGACAAGTCAGAGAACGCCGGCAAGTTAACCCGTAGTTACCACCGCTTTCTCTAGATACCTTTGCACTTAGGATCAACCGCATGCAGGTAAGTGCTAAACGGCTCCCCGTGTTAGTTGTGTAGCCTCAAGATTATTCCTTTACCACCTGGCCTGCCCTTTCCATGGTGGCTTTTCCAAGCCCAAACTCAGAGTTTCTTACATCACGAGCGAGTGTCCTGGGCTATCGTGCGGTGCTGAGCCTGCAAACCAATAGCTCCCTTTCAAGCAAACAAACAGTATCACCCGCGCCTGAACAGCAGGGCTTGTGCAGCTGTTTGGATATTTATTCCATTCCCCTCATGGTGTGAAAAGTGAGTAGAAGGCCAGGAAAAGAACGCTGCTCACCCCAGAGATGGGAAACACACGCGCCTTATGAACTAATTCCACGCAGAGCGGCGTGGCCGCTGCGGAAAACAATACGCAGGATCCTCACAAAATTAAAAACGGAACTGACCCAGAGGATCCACTTCGGGACTATCTCAGAAGAAACCCAAGACACGAATTGGAAAGAAGATGCGCACCCCGATGTTCACTGCAACATTATTTACAACAGCCAATATCTGGGAGCAACCCAAGTGCCCATCAATAGACGGATGAGCAGATCACGAAGTTTTGGACATCTATACAACGGAATATCACTCGGTCATAAAAAAGGAATGAAATCTTACCATTTGTGATAACATGGATGGACCTAGAGCAGTGGTTCTCAACCTTCTGGCCCTTTAAATACAGTTCCTCATGTTGTGACCCAACCATAAAATTATTTTCGTTGCTACTTCATCACTGTAATGTTGCTACTGTTATGAATCGTCATGTAAATATCTGATACGCAGGATGGTCTTAGCGACCCCTGTGAAAGGGTCGTTTGACCGCCAAAGGGGTCGCGACCCACAGGTTGAGAACTGCTGACCTAGAGGGTAGTATGCTAAGTGAAATAAGTCAGTCGGAGAAAGGCAAAACAAACAAACAAACCTCATAGAAACAGACGCATGGGTACAGAGAGAGAACCGGTGGTTGCGGAGGGGAGGGAAGTCCGGTGACTGGGTGAAAAAGGTGAAGGGATTAAAAGGCACGGGGATATAAAATACAGCCTAGGGAAGACAGTCAGTAACACTGTAATAATTGTGCCTGGGGCCTGGTGGTATTTGCATGTTGGGTATTCTGGACTTGTCATGTGGGGGTGCTTTGTAAGGCATGGTTGTCTAACCGTGACTCTGTACACCTGGAACTAATACAAAATAATACCGAATGCCAACTGTAATTGAAAAGATAAAAACAACTTATTCCGATTGCAAGTGGGCAGGAACCGGGAGCTGACGGGGGGATGCTGCGTGTGGGGAGCAGCTGTGCCCGCAGAGCCCACTGACGGTCTTCGCCGCTGCTGGGTGGTCCCCGTCCCTTCACTGAGTCCTGTCTGAGCTACGCCAGTTGGGCTGGTTTCAGTTCTCCGCCACAGGAGTGCCTGCCTAGGACAATATGTGAGGGGCCTGTGTGTCCTGGCCCTCGGCAATCGCTGCTCTTTGCACTTTGTTATCACAGAACGCAGGTTAGGGCGGCCCGGCTCAGGCCTGAGCATCTCAGAGCCGAGCCCCGGCCTCTGACCGGGTGTGCCTCGCAGCTCCGGTCTCCATCTGGGCAAGGGATGGACAGAACTCAGGGATGGACAGGACCTGGGGATGGACGGAACCCGGGGATGAACAGAACCCGGGGATGGACGGAGCCCGGGGATGGACGGAGCCCGGGGATGGACGGAACCCGGGGATGGACGGAGCCCGGGGATGGACGGAGCCCGGGGATGGACGGAACCCGGGGGTGGACGGAACCCGGGGATGGACAGGACCCGGGAATGGATGGAACCCGGGAATGGATGGAACCCGGGGATGGACAGAGCCCGGGGATGGACAGAGCCTGGGGATGGATGGAACTCGGAATGGACGGAACCCAGGGATGGACGGGACCTGGGGATGGACGGAACCCGGGGATGGACGGGACCTGGGGATGGACAGGACCCGGGGATGGACGGAACCCGGGGATGGACAGAACCCAGGGATGGACGGGACCCAGGGATGGACGGAACCCGGGGATGGACGGAACCAGGAAAATCTATTCTGATGAGCCTCGCTGTACACCCTTCAGCCCTCGGGACACCATGTCTGATCAGAACCCCCTGCTTCCTCAGCTGCCGAGTCCCCAGGCGTTTCACGTGAATCCCCTTCTCAGGGACCTAAATGCTGACAGACGGGTCTGAACTGCCACGCGTTCCCCAGATGACAACCTCCCTCCCCCACTGCATCGCACCCGCGGTCAAGCTCTCCTCCATAGAAGGGCTTGTTCAGTCCAGAAAAGAGTGTCCCAGGGATGCCCGCCTGAACTCCACGGGGGGCCAAGGGCTGCAGCACAGCACCCCTCCTCTCACAGGTCACCCTCCCGTCTTCCTCCCCTGCCAACTGGCCCCACGCTAGCCACTGACTGCTCGTGGAAAGACACCGAGAAGGTCATGAGGGGCGCCGAGGGGCGGTGGAGAGCTGGGCTGGGAGCCGGAAAGCCCTGGGTGCTCCTCCCAATTTGTTCATTCCCTCCCAGGCCCCCGACACGGCTCTGTGCTAACACTAGATTTCCTATCTCTACAAGGGACACGGGGTTACCCAAGACAGTGCTGAGCGTGTCGCAAGGAGAGTGTCATTCATGCCGTTGCAGACCTCGGGGACTGTGTGAATTTCAAAACTGTCACCCAGTCCACATTCAAACTTCTGGGAGGGCCAGAGGCCAAAACGACCATGATCTGGGGGTGAGATCATTATATATCCCCAATAGCAACTGAGAACTGGCCCTAAAGTTTCTAAACGGGGTACATCAGACACAGGAGAGTGGGGTGAAGAGTTGGGGGCAGCCCGGGAGAGGGGCGGTGCTGCAGCTGAACGGACGGTGTGACGCCGGACACGCGGCTCAAGCTCCCGGGCCTCAGTTTCCTCTGCCATGAAGTGGGGGTGACATTAACAGAACCCACTTTCTGGGGCTGCTCAAAGATCTGAGGAGTCGGTGCAGGTCAAGAAGTTAGGACGCAGTCAGCGCTCGTGAGAGGTCAACACCCCCGGCCTGGAGGACTCTACTTCCTCATGGGCACCTGAGCTTCTTGTGGCATCGCATGCATGGCTGCCCAGAGGCCCCTCTGGATGGCGGGCTGCAGCCTGGCCTGGGAACCGGCATGCTCTGACCCCACGTGTGCCCCCAACTTCCTCTAGGACCGGGTCCTGGCCACTCGGTCACCGCTGCCCCCACGGGCCCAGCTCTGGGAACAGGGCGCCGCTCTCTCCAGGCGCCGAGCGCAGCTGTGCCATCCTGTGTGTGGCTCCCTCTTGATAAAGGCCCAGAGATTAACTGCTGGTTCATTGATGTGACCAGGTCTCTCTGCCCGGGGGTCCGAGCCCGCAGAGGCGGCTGGGGGCCAGCACGGTGCGGCCCGGTCAGAGCCGCAGCAAAGCCTGGCCCATGGGAAGGGCCCGTAGATGTGAGATCTCACTATTATGCGGAAGGGCTAGGGTCAGAAACATGCTTGTCTTTTCTCCTCCTTTCTTCCCTCTCCATCCCTCCGAAGGTCAGGGTAAGGCGCAGGGTCAGTTGGCGGGGGCAGGCCAGATGGGGGCACACGCTTGAGTTCACGGTCATGTTCGTGCTGCTCTTCCTCTGACAAGGATGGGGCTGGGACTAGGGCTGTGGCGGCGGCTGGTCCCCCGTCTCTGGCCACCGTTGAGAAGGACCTTGGCATTTGGTTTAGCCTCTCCCAGAGCCACGCCTGACCATCGGCGGCCCTGACCATCCCGGCCCCGCAGGTCCCCTGGGTAGCTGCTAAAAGGCATCTCTATGAAGCCTGGAGGCTCTCCCTGCTGTTGGGCTCAGCACCCTGGGAAGCGGGGGGTCCCATGGGAACTGGGACTCAGGATCCAGCCTGGGTCTCAGCGGAGGGGTCATCTCTCTGCACAGTGGTCAGCAGGGGCAGTCCTGGAGCCCCGTTTCCTCGAACTCCCTCCACCCCCGGCCCTCGGGGCGGACTTACCCAGGCCCAGGTTGGCGATGGTCTTGAGGTCTGTGAAGCTGCTGGCCTCAAGGATGGCCTGTGGCAGCCTCAGCGTGAAGGGCAGTAAATCTCTGTGGAAACAAGAGGGGTCAAGGTCACGTCTGGGAGGGACCTGTGTGTCCATTCCCACCCCCACAGTCCCCGCACCCAGAGCCCATAGAGGAGAAACCCCAGCAGCCCCGCTGGCTGCTGGGGCCTTCGCACAGACGGGAAACCCCTGGGGTGGAGGGCCCAGCCCCGAGGCTGACGGAGCATCCAGGCAGGTCCAGGTCCTGGGCCAGCACGATGGACCCTGAGAAGTGGGAGACCCCCCATGGGAGTGGGGACCCCTCCACTCCAGGGAAGCCTCTGCGCTGGGTAAAGCCAGCGACCCACCCCTCTCTGCCCTCTGACCCTCACTGCTCCACACTGAGATGGGCAGCGAGCAAGCACACAGTCTGGCTTCTCCAGTGAGCGTACAGTCAGGCTTCTCCAGTGAGTGCACAGTCAGGCTTCCTTGGTGAGCACAGTCAGACATCCCTGACAACGCGCTCAATCTGCCTTTGGTCTGAACGGGGAAGTATTCAGGGATTTCCCCAGAGATCTCCTGGCAGAGACTCAGACACTCTCCCCCTTTATTGTGCAGATAGGGAAACTGAGGCCCAGAGAGGAAAAGGAATATGCCCAGGCCATACAACAGGTTGAAGGCAGAGTGTGCTAAGCCCTGGGCCTCCTGAGTTCTCGCCCAGGGCTGTTTCAGGGGGCCAGAAGGGGAGGAACCCCAAGACGGACGATCCCGATTCTATATCTCAGCCTGGCATTCAAGGCCCATCACAGCCTGACCCCGCCCGCCCCCCACCACCACTTTCCAGCTCTAGCCACCTTCTCCCCAAATCCCAATTCCAACCCTATGGGTAGGCATTAATACCTTTGTGTTAATTAATTTGGCATTGAATCCCCTAGGGGAGCTACTAAAAATGCATATTCCAGTTCCACGCCCAGGGGTGCCAAGGGTCAGGTCTGGGGGTGGGCCAGGAACCCACATTTTTAATAGCTCTCTGGACACCGCCTTGGGTGGGAATCACGTCCCCCAAAGCAAGGGGGCCAATAAAAATAAAAGTTAAGTAGCTCTCCTTACGTATGCATGTCTATGCTGCCTTATAAACTACTAAGACCACTGAAAAGCATTCACGAAGAGAAAATTTCAAAATGGGATTTTTAGAACAAGTGTCCTAACCTTCCCCCCCACACACTCTGGTGGGTCAGCTTGTGCACCTCCTGGGGCGCCACGGCCCCTCCCTGGAGGCCTCTGTTCTAGCTGATGTTTTTCAGACTTTTTGGATTATGACTGTCAGCATGAAACACATCTGGCGTCATGGTACAGTGTGTACATACACACACACACACACACACACCCCTAAAGGAAGTGTAGCACGAGACTCAGTCCAGCCACATGAGATACACTCTGGTATTTTCTAGTCTAATTTTTCATTAAAAAAAACAGCCAGTCGTGCCCTGGCCGGTGTGGCTCAGTTGGTTGAGCTTTGCAAGTCAGGGCATATGCCCAGATTGGGGGTTTGATCACCAGTAGGGGGCATGTGGGACATGGACAATCGATGTTTCTCACATTGATGTTTCTCTCTCTCTCATCAATAAAAACATATATATTTTTAAAAGAGCCAGTCATGATCCACTCAATTGATCTGACGACCCCTCTGGGTGTCTTCTGACATCACCAACCAATCCACCAACACTAGGGGGCGTGTCCCCCACCACTCGGGTGTCACCCCACCACTCGGAGACCCCAGGCTCCAGGAGCTGTGCCAGGGGGCTGGACAAGGAGCACATCTTTCTCTTCTCTCCCACGCCTCCCCCTGGCTGTGGTCCCAGGTGGAAAAGCACCACACACCATGTACGTTATCGCACTCACTCCTAGGCACAGGCTATTTCTCCTCCCCCTGAGGGCCTGGGCACCTCGCTAGGTGCTGGACAATTTGGGGGTGACCTGGGGAGCACTTCTAAGATGTCAGGCCCGGCCTAGGAGAACAATATCTGAACCCCCTAGATGCCCATGGCACCCTGAGCTCCATCTCCTCACACATCCTGGGTGACTTGTGGTTTTGAAAGTCGACCACTATAGAGGGAAGAGCATGAATTCATTTTGGTGACTTTTTTTTTTTTTTTAGAGAAAGACAGAAAAAAGCCAGCCTGAACTTTAGAATCCACGGGCCCAGCTCGAACCCTAGCTGCATTCCCTGCGGGGTGTCGTTTCCATTTCCCGTGTGACAGTGGGGGCACGATGCCTGCTAACGGGGTCGTTTTGTGAATCCAACGAGCTGGGGCATAGGGACCGCACGGCCCCAACCAGGACCCGGAGGCTGCGCCTGTGTTTCCTCCTCCTCCTGGGAGCGCAGGCCGTGGACACCTCTCAGGGCCTCGCCCTGCTCACCGGGTGGCTCCTGGCTGAGGGGGGAGGTGCCCCAGCTCCAGGCAGTGACAGCAGGTCTTTCTTCAAAGGCCGAGAGGCCCTGCCGGCCTCTTCCTCCAGGTGGCAGGAAGATGGCAGCTTAGTCACAACCCTTGGCGCCTGGACACCTCCTCGAGAGGGCAGGCCCAGGGCCTCCTCCCTTCCTTCCTCATTTCGGTTCACTGCACCCTCTTCACGCGGCTACAGACTCCTGCCCAGGGTGTGCAGAGGGCCAGACCTCCTGGACCCTGTAGCAAGGATGTCAAACTCGCGGCTGATGGGCCGCATGCCCTGGTGGCCGGCTGCGAGTTTGACATGCTCTCTAGGGCTCAGCTGAGACTCCCGTGTAGTAACTGCTTCAGACGCGGTCGAGTGTGTTCACCTCCTGCTGCCCAGGATAGAGCCCCGGCATCTCCCCCGCAGCCCCTGCTCCCGCCCCCTCCCTCTAGGGGCTGCCCCAGCCCTCGGGTTCCCCCATCCAACAGTCCCTGAAAACAGAACCAGAGCACCTACTGGGTGTCGGGCAGCGTGCTGCCTCTATCCCATTCCCCCTCCAGCCTCTCTCTCATGAGCATTATTCCCACACGGAGTCGAGACTCAGAGAGATGAAGTAACCAGCTCAAGTGCCGGGCTCTGCGACTGCCGTCATTCATTCTTTCATTCATTCATCAAAGCACCTGGAATGTGCCAAGCCTTCCACTACGGTGAGAACGTCTCAGCCCAGGAAAGGCCTGTCTCCCACAGAGACTGACACGTCATCGCTCACAAAGGGCCAGGGCCTCTGAGGCTTTGCCTTGTGGGCCTGGAGGGACACGCTAGGTCCGTGATCGGCAAACCTGGAAGAGCCACACTCCAGGGGCCAAAGAGCCGCATGTGGCTCGCGAGCCGCGGTTTGGCAAGCCGCAGTTTGCCGACCACTGCGCTAGGTCATCGGAATCATTGCAGGATGTACGTAGCAGACCTTGGAGCTTTATCTAATTACTAGAGGTCCAGCGCATGAAATTCATGCACTGGTCAGGTCCCTAGCGGCTGCCAGCTGCCGGCCGGGGCCTTCCTTCGTTCCGCGCTGCCCCATGGTGGTCAGCACAGTCATAGCGAGCGATCGAACGCCCGGTCGGTGGAACTCCGGAGGGGGCACTTTGCATATTAGGCTTTTATATATAAGATTTTTGTTGTTGTTGTTAATCCTCAGCCAAGGATATTTTTTCCATTGATTTTTAGAGAGAGTAGAAGGGAGGGAAGGTGGAAGGGGGGGGGAGAGAGAGAGGGAGAGAGAGAAAGAGAGAAACATTGATATGAAAGAGATATCTATTGGTTGCCTCCCACACATGCCAGACTGGGGGGCTGGGAATCAAATTTGCAACCCAGGTACGTGCAACCAGGACTGGGAATCGGTGCGTGGACCAATGCTCTAACCACTGAGCGCCCCGCCAGGAAGCTTTATCTATTTTGCATCTCCACTCTGCCGTTTAACAGCTGTGTGACCTTGAGCAAGTTACTTCCCCCAGTCTTAGTTTTCTCGCCTATAAAATGGGAATAATAAGAGCACTGTCTCGTGTCATTGTTTGCAAGATTGACAAGGATGTCGGTTGTCAGAGCTCCGTGCTAGGTACCAGGAAAGCGCACGGCAGGCAGCAGCTCTTAGCAGCTGTCAGCACCAGCACCGGCGTTTCTGCCCATTGGGGCCCCGGAGGGTCCTGGCAGGTGGCAGGTGGTGTTCTGGGCTGGGTGCGGTTTTCACCGGCAAGGATGGCGTCTTTGAAGGAGGGAGAAGTGGGCCTGGAGCTCCGATCCCGAGACATCCTACCAGCCTCTAGCCAGTTTTAGCCAAGACACGGTAGCCTAAGCCAGCGGCTTCTGACACCCAAATGTATTTTTAAATTCCTGTTGACCTGCAACCAGTTCTGAATAAATAGAGCAGCTCTGAGGGTGGTTACCAGACACCCGCTCCACCCTGCAGCTGCTCAGCAATCACAAGCTCCCTCCCGCGGAGGGTACCAGCCCTTCCTGCCGCCCCTACAGGAAGTTCTTCTTCTAACCCTAACGGGGTGCACTAGGTCCACCCAGGACACCCAGCTGCCCTGGAGGCCGGAACAGGGGATGCTAAGGTGACAGGCAGTGAGCCGGGGAGCAGGTGGTGGTGAGGAGGAGTCCTTTACTGGCAGATCTAAGGAAGCACCACCTTCCAGGGTTACCAGGGCAAAGCCCAGGACTGTCCCCCTCCTCTGCATCCTGTGGGCTGCACCCTTCCCTCTGGGGGCTTCCCTGGGACTCCCGCTCCCACCCAGCGTTGCATGGCCATCTGTTGCCACCAGACGCCCTCCCGTGGGGCCAGGGGTACTCACCTACTGACACAGTAGAACGCAATCAGTCTGAAGACGTCCTCAAACACAAGAACCGAGCCTTCCAGGTACAATACTGAGGAGAGATGACAGAGGCCCAGATGAGTGTCCGGTCAGAGGGAGGGAGGGTCCCTGGGCGGGGAGAAGTGGGGCGGGGGAGGTGTCTATCGAGTTCGTTATAGCAGGGCCTGGCCTGCTGCGGCCACATGTTCCTCAGCTGCCCTCGGGACCACATAGGAGTGAGAAAGGAACTTCTGTGACAGCGATGTTCAACCTTTCTCACCTCACGGCTCACAGGCTAATTACAGAAATTCTGCAGGACACCGAAAATATGTATTTTTATGCCTATCTGACAAACAAAAAGTATGTGATGGATTCCTTCACACCACATGGCTATTGTTGTATTGGCCGTTGTCAGTTTTTGATTTGTCAATCTAATGATTGAAATCGGTGTCCCTGATTAAACAGTTATTGCATGTTTTAAAAATTCTTGCAGCACACAGGTTGAAAATCACTGTTCTATGGTGTTAATCCACTGAGATTTGGGGTGGGGATTACCTGAATGAATACGCATCATTTTGGGCACAATAACACAGATGCCTCCAGAATGAAAGCAGAGTGAAACGTTTAACTGATCAGGGTCACCTCAACCTGGTGATTCTGAGGGCGGAGGGGACAGCGGGAGAAAGCCGCCCAGTTCTGTGTTGGCCTCCGGGAGGTTCATTGGTCCAGGGCACTGACCTAGGGCCCCCGGCCCTCCATCCAAGAGGACCTAGTAGGACCTCACTTGACGTGCCTGTATGGCAACCCAAGGGCGAGGCTGACCATGAGGTTTTCCAGCTCTGACAAGGGAGAGAGACCAAGGCATTTGCCCAAGATCCCACCCCAGGGTGGATGTGGCTCCTTAGAGAGACTGGGTGCCAGGATGTGGCACCAGTGCCCGAAGCTGGGGGTGCAGTGACCAGAGGATGTGGCACAATGCCACACCCTATTTGGACGGCAAGCAAGGGCCCAGGGACGCTGAGTGGATGCTCCCCAGCGCTCTTGGCGCCCCCCACACCCACGACTCTGGACTCTCACTCAGGACTCATTTGCCCAACAGAGGGGCTCCCTGTGCTGGGGACTCCCCCGCCCCACTGCACTTTCTAGGGCATCAGAGGGGCCGAGAAATATGTGTGCATCACCCCTCAGTTCCAATTTCCTGAGGGCCTTCCAGCAGCTGTGTGATGGAGGGAAGGCAGGTCCCAGTCCCAGGCCGGGCTCTGACCCTGGGACCAACAGGGTGACTCTGGGTACATCCCTTCCCTTCCCAGCACTGCAGTTCTTCCACCTTCCGACCCTGAACCCCCCTGTGCATCCAGGTGACACTGGCCGGCGGCCTGTTTTCATAGCCTAGGGCAGTGTTCCTTGCACTGGTGGTCTGCGAGGTGTTTACGGGTGACCACACATAGACAAACACGGGCTGTTGTAACAGCTTTAGTTTTATATTTGCCTTCTTCCCATGTTCTAAACCAGGGGTCCTCAAACTTTTTAAACAGGGGGCCAGTTCACTGTCCCTCAGACCGTTGGAGGGCCGGACTATAGTTTAAAAAAAACACCCAACTATGAACAAATTCCTATGCACACTGCACATATCTTATTTTGAAGTAAAAATCAAAATGGGAACAAATACAATATTTGTATTTGCATGTGGCCCGCGGGCCGTAGTTTGAGGACCCCTGTTCTAAAGCTTTAACATGCTTTTTAAAAAACCTTTACATTCATCATCTATTTATGACAAAGAGGTCATGGTTTCCCATTAGGACAGACATAAGAAGGTTAAAAGGAAGTTTAAAGAAAAACACGCAGTAGGTGATAGCATGGGAGGTGCTCTGAAGATGCCTACAAATGACGAGTCTGAGAAACACTGCATGGAGCCCGCACCCTCCGTGAAGTGATAGGGGCAGGGCGGCCCACGGCGCCATCTGGTGCTGGCATTGGGTACGGCGCCTACTCGCCGCAGCGCTGGCCAAGGGAGCCCGGTGCCCAAAGACCTGCAGAGCTAGAGACCATTCCACCTGTAAAAGGAGACCCTGAAGCAGGAGCCCCTCCAAGCAGAGGGTGGTGGTGACGCACGCAGAAAGCCCCACCTCCTACACGGGACATGCTCAACAATGAGCAGCTTTCCTTCGCTGTGGGGACCTGGTCTGACCTTGGCCGACACAGATGAAACCTTTGAGACGAAGCAGGCACCCCCTCTCGGGCCTGCTGGCGCTTTACATAAAGCCGCACTTCTTTCAGACGTTTTCCCGACCGTCTGCGTGCTGGCCAGGTCCTCCAGGGCAGGGACCAGGGCGCATTCACTTTTGTTAGCAGAGGACAGAGCACAGTTCTCTACATAGCACCAGTCGCCTTCCTACTGTGAAAGCTGTCGAGTTTCAAAATCACAAGCAAGGGTCAAGGCTCTCGTTTGTTTCCTGTGACCTCTTCTGCCCCAGCTCCAGCCCCAGCCAGCTGCCCACGTCTGCCGGGTGCTGAAGGTGGGAACTGCTTCCCCTCACCCCTCGAGGCCCCTGGGAGCCCCTGCACGCCAGGGCCAGGCTGGGCCCCAGGGTGAGCCTCCCTCAGCTTCCAGCAGAGCCGCCTGAAATGGGTAAACTTATGGTACAGGATGCATGACAGAAATACATCTCAATAAAGCCATTATTAAACCAAGAAAAACGCTTGCCGGGTGGACAATTTCACTGCCCACAGTAAGATTTTCTGGGATTTTTGTAATGGGCATCTATGGGTTCTGTAAGCAGAGAAACTGCCAGGATTCTCTACCTGTTTCTCTAATTTCCTACCGTTCTCTGTAAACGTGTCTCTAGAGCCGACTGGCTTCCAGCGTCCTCTCAGCTCCTGCTGCTATGGAACCGCTCCCAGCCCTGCAGGGCATAGCTGAGAGGCCCATCCACCCACTACGTCACCCCTAACACACGCCCTTGCCCCCCAGCCCGCTTCTAAGAGCCGTGGGCGCATCCAGCACCCACTCTGCCCTGGGCAGCAGCTCACGCAGGGACCCAGCCAGCGGCTCCTCCCAATACAGATGCCAGGGCTGGCGGCCACCTTTGAAAAGCACGGGCAGCAACCCCTCCACTGTGTGCAGCCCCAGGGTCCCTCAGCAGAAGCCCCGGTGGGAACACGCCAGACCCTCTCTTGCCATTTCTCTTTCAAAGGGTGAGGAGAGAATGGGTACCAGCCAGCAGCACCCGGCCTGTCCCAAGGTGACCACAGGCGACAACAACAGAACTCTGCCTCCACTTAGAGGAAAGGAAAGCTTTCACCTGTGACTCCCCGTCAAGGCTGAGTGGGGACAGGGTGCAGATGCCAGGCCCACACACGCCGGAATGGCTCCCAGCATTCACAACCCCAGTGTCAAAATGAGATATGCACAGCCTGACTGGTGTGGCTCAGTGGCTGAGTGTCGACCTATGAACCAGGAGGTCATGGTTCAATTCCTGGTCAGGGCACATGCCTGGGTTGTGGGCTCGGTCCCCAATGGGGGGCATGCAGGAGGCAGCTAATCGATGATTCTCTCTCATCATTGATGTTTTATCTCTCTCTCCCTCTCCCTTTCTCTCGGAAATCAATAAAAATATATTTAGAAAAAGAGAGATATCCACAGAGAATGGAAAGCTAGTAGATCTTTTAAAAAAGCGGGGGGGGAGGATTCCATTTAATCACTCAATCGTCCAAATGAACTGCCAAGGACAGGAGCTGCATGTGTATCTTCTGTTCTTCACGGTTACCCAGACCCAGGCATGGTGCTGCGCATGGTGCCGGCTCTCCGATGCTTACTTAATGATTTATTTACAAAGTGTTTTATTTGAAAATACTTAGAAGAGTCATAAGAAGTTGCAGAGATGTACAGGGAGGTCCTGGGCACCCTTCACCCAATTTTACACGGGTGCATGTGTGTGTACATGTGTGTGCGTGTGCGTGTGCGTGCTGGTACCGTGCTATGAACTGTATCCCGTGTGTAGCTGTCTGGAATCACCATCACAACCAAGATATGTCACTGTACCATCACTGCGGGGCTCCCTGTGCTTCCCCCTTGGAGCCACAGCCACTCTTCGCTCACCCCAGGCCCCCGGCAACCACCAATCTGTTCTCCATCTCTATGGTGATGTTATTTCACGAATGTCTTATAAGTGGAGTCACACAGGATCCAGCCTTGACACTGGCTTTCTTCACTCAGCATGAGTTCCTCGAGGGTCCTCCACGTCGCTGGCTGAACCAACCGCCCGCTCCTCTTTAGTGCCGAGTCAGCACCCATGGTTTGGATGGAGCATTCTTTGCTTGACTAGTCACCCGCTGAAGGACATCTGGGGAGTTTCCAGTTTTGAGTTGTTATGCACAGAGCTCCTATGGACATTTGTGTACAAGTGTCTGCATGAAAATATGCTTTTTTGGCGACATCTGTAATACTGTCCGTAATAAAAAATATATTTAAAAAGGAAACAGACTTTCCTTTCTCTGGGATGTATGCCCAGGAGTGCTATTGCTGGGTCATACGGTAAGTCCATCCAAGGAAACACCAGACTGCTCTCCTGAGTGGCCAGCAATGCACGCAGGGTCCAGCGTCTCCCGTGCCTGCCCATTTGTTGTTGCTGTTCTTTGTTGTAGCCATTCCAGTCGGTGTAGAGTGGCATCTCAAGATGGTTTTGATTTGCATTTCTCTGATTTGGATTTTGGAAACGAAGATGTTGACCTTCTTTTCATGTGGTTATCTGTTATCTGTATATCTACCCTCTGGTGAAACGTCTATATATATTGTTTGCCAATTTTCTAATTGGGTATTTTTTTAATGTTGAGGTTTTTTTTTTAAAAATCACTTCAATAAGATATTCACATACCGTACACTTCACCAATTTAAAGTGCACAATCAATAATAATGGTCTTACCATATTCACAGAGTTGTGCAACCATCACCACAATCAGTTGTAGAATGTGTTCACCATCCCCAAAGGAAACCCTGATGTGTGCGCTGTCGGCTTAGTCATTTTATTTATCTTTTTGTGCTTCGATTTTCTCATCTTTAAATGGTGACAACAA